CTTATTAAAACTTAGTAAGATATTGTTATGGTCAAAGAAGACCCGCAAGTGCGTGCCACAAATCCACTCAGAAGAAACATCTCATTCACTAAAATTTTCTTATTATAATAGTGCACAGAAAATTAAACACATAAATATTAATTTTATGTATCACAGATGATGTAGGCAATGAAAATGCAATGTTTACATTTATGGGTGACTCATTAGTGTTTTATTGTGTGAAACACTAGGAGGCATCAGTTGGGTGAAAAAGGACTTCAATTTTAGAAGAAGCAAGAAATTACTGTAAAGTTGGGTGTGTAAGAAGTTAAGATTTTTTAAATGTTATTATGTAAACCAAAACTTTATTCTCTGAAATAAACTCTCAAAACATCATATTCTGTTGTAAAGAATGACCTTTATATAACATTCATGAAATACATATATATATAATTTGACCAATGAACTTTTATGAAGATATATTTCAGATGTATGGATTCATAACTGTGTAATTACACATTTTTATGTAGAATATATTTGGCAACAGAATAGCATAATGGATATTGACTATTATGCATTTTCTGCTGAATTACTCAATAACATGAGTGTATGTTTTATTTCTGGCAAATTCTGTTTTGTGCTATTTATAATGTCTCTGAAAATGTCTAATGCATTTAAGTCTTACAATACCTGCTTCGTGTAAGCAGACAATTTGATGTTTCTTCATAAAGAAATGATGGAACTTAAAATTTACACAATGAGGACATAGATAAAAAAAGGACATGTTTTCTCTTACTTCACTACTGAAAGCCTGTCATTTGAAAACTGAATTTTCCATTGTTTGAATGGTTCATAATGATGAAGCAACAGGGTCAAAGTATACTTATCTAGCAATCATTTGAAATTGAGTGTCTTGCCATTCCTCAACAATCAGCTTTTATCTTTGACCTATCAAAATAACATGTGAACTATGTAATCTGCCTTTTGTAAGGTGCATAGACTCTGTTGTTGTTCCTGGTTTTGTGAATCACCTCTGTAATCTGGTTTGATTTCCTAAAGGTGACAGATCTCGGTGAACAGTCAAGCTTTACTGAGTGCAAGATAGTCCACGCGCCTATGAGATTAAGGTACAGTGCTAAGGACGGGGATCTTAATTACCTATCTTTCCACATGCAGCATACTGATGAAACATCAGTGATTAAATCACTTCATCCTGTCCAGGCAATCACCACATTAGTATAGAATGAATATGTGTATTTTGATAAGTTTTAGATATTAATTTGTGTGGCATTTTCTCAGAGGATGAGCTTTTGAAAAAGAAGTGCAACTTTATTAATAATCTCTTTACAGTCCATCTTGTGACCATGAATTGCATATTAAATTCTTCTATGTTGCTTCGAATCATGTCCCCAAAGCCAGAATTCTCTGTTTAATAATTATGTCTTTGTTGTTATGTAGCACAAGTATTGCTGCACAGCTATTTCCCCATTTTTGTCACTTTCTGAGATTTCAGAGACTCAAATTATACCACACTTTAGAGTTGAGAAATAAAACCACAAAATATACTTCAATAAACAGAAGAAAGTTTTAAAAGATAATGTTAAGATATGCTAAGGAGTTATTCAGTGCTGTTCTTTATAAAAGAAGTTTAAATACAATAAATTATTTATTAGAAAGATACATTTGCAGTGTTATGCAATTTATTGATTCCGTTAAGTTAGGGCCAAGGAAAAAATTTCAGGTATTATTTCCCCAAAATTTTGCAAAATGAACATGTTTACAAAGAGGAAAAGATGCAAGTTGCCTCTTGTTATCTAAGTTTCATGGAGGTATCTAGTATTAAAGTGTTTCTATCTTGAAAAGTTAATATCGGTGATTGCACACTTTTAAAATACGAATAGCTCAGAAAAGGTGGAAAACTGTTTTTATTATAAATTGCTTATTCGTTATTGAAATAAAAAACAAATTAACATTTAATAAAACTGACACTTTAATATTATCTTTCAATATATTCCACATGCACAGCAATCAGGATGTAAATGGTATAATTAATGAGTGAAGTAAAATGCTGCCTTTCCTAAGCCTGAAAAAAAGTGAAACATTCCAATGTTGTGTGAATTATATTAATAAAAATAGTAGATTTTTATAAAATTTAGTAAAACTTGAAGTACAGATAACAGCCACCTACTGCCTGTTTGACGGGAGAATCAAATTTTAAGCAAATGTTATGTTTAAAGACTGTTTTAATGAAAACTTTTAGAGTTGAGTTAGTAGCCGAATACACAGCTAAATGTACTTTTCTACAAATTGAATGAGATATTTAAAATATTTCTTTCCTCTTGAAATTGGATGTTAGGGACATCTCATTTTACCTATCAAGTTCTGAGTCTTGCTTTAGAACTACTTCTTTTAACTTAAATAATTTCATGCATACACTGGAAGACAATAATATGGCTTTTAACAGCATTATCTTTAATTGAAACTGATGAAGAAACAAAAATACTGCTTATACCATATTGGTACATATGAATGTTTTTAAAGACTAGCCAAAACTGACATTATTTTTTTAAATTAAATAAGATGTTTTAGTTTCAAATTAGAGATTGTTGATCTATTTAAAGCTAAAACTGGTATGCAATACGAGGTTAAACGGGGTTCACAGGTGGTCACATTTCCATGTCCTACCAAGTCTCTAGGGACTGGAGTTATTATACTCCACATAAACATCTTTACTCTGCAACCACAATTCCATTGCAAGGTGCCAGTGAAAGTAGGCTGGTCACTTTTTTTTTTTTTTTTTTTGGACTGGTATATTGAGGTGGCTGGAGTTTCCTTTATAGCACTTAGAAATTATATGCAGTCCCCAAGCATTTCATAAGACAGTTACTATTAGAGTTAGTTTCAGATTCACAATAGTAAAACGCACTTTGTGTCAAAGCAATTCTCCACTGAGGACCGGTTAAGGAACTGGCAGAGAGCCCAATTCTACTTATTATACTGTCAGCATTTACATATAAAGTATTTTATACAAAAGACACGCATTCCTAAAATGTGACAAAAAAAGGCTTTCCCCAAAGAATGATAACTACTGGACTTAGAATAGTCAGAAGTGATTCAGATATAAAATTTCCTCTAAAAATCAATAGCCATGTTCAGGGAAGGAAGATAACATTAGCATTAAATGTAAATACTTCTATAACATTTAATAATACAATAAACAACGTGTCACATCTATATATACTTCCTTTGTGCCAAACTTTATCATTGAGTTTGGTAACTTTCATTCCAAGTCTAAAGAGAAGGCAATTTAAGTGACTTAACCTTGCTTGCTTTTAAACGGCTATATATTTGACTTGACCTGAACAGCAAACTATATGCTGAAATCGAACGTGAATTGTGAAATGTGTAGACTATCATGGCAGGGATATTACCTTTTGTCCACAACAATTAAGAATCCTTCTGTCAAGCCAGCACTTTGGTGAGGGAAGGAAATGCACAAAGGTATACTCTGACAGACAGCCATGCTTTAGCTCAAACTAATCCCAAGAATTAGTGGCTCAGAAGCATAACCCAGGGCAAATCAGTGTCTTTGGGGAACTCATGGGAGCATCTTTCCACAGTGAACTAACTGCTAAATCTTAAGGCATCTACTTCAAGGTCACAGAACATGCTGTGAAACATTAAAATCCACCAGGCTCCACACGCTCCACCATATCAAACATGCTAATGACGTGAACTAACTTCATGAAACTTTAAATACACTGGTGTGACAGGAACGAGTCGGGAGTGATTTCAATAGCTGATGGCAAACGGATACGACTATCTAAAAAGTTACTTTTAGCAACAAACAAGGAAATCATGGAATCTAACGAAAAGAATGCACAACGAACCTCAACTTCAGCCTTCAAAAAAGGCACAGGGATAGATAGACACAGTGCCGTGGAATATATTGATGCAGATTTTAGAGACAATACCCGGGTTTTCTATTTCCTCGAGAAATGTCAGGGGTACTTACATGAAGGAAGACCCGATCAGATTAGTCCTTGAGATATTTTCCTTTCTTAAGAGAGAGAGAGAGAGAGAAAAAAAAATAAAAAATAACAACAATAATCTTTACTTCGTCCAGCGTTGAAGTGCTTCTCCACCTGATTCAAACATGCAGCCACGGCGACCCACACAGAACCTTCAAAGTCAATCCAATAGCAGCCCGAAGATGTCTGGGTGTACGCGTGTGCTCAAGTGTCTGTGACTGCGAGCAGAGCGAGCAGAGAGCTGGAGACGATGTGTGCGTGTGTGCGCGCGCGAGGGGAGCGCGCGCGAGGGGGGGGCGCGGGGCCGCGCATTCGCGCGCGCCGAGGCCGCTCCGAAGAGGAGGAGGAGGAGGAAGAACGAGGAGGAAGAGGAGGAGGAGGAGGAGGAGGAGGAGGAGGAGGAGGAGAAAGTGGCTCTCAGCGGCCGGTCGGATTAAAAGTAACCAGACTCGTCCAGAAAACTGCGTCCAGGAAGGAAGTGACAGAAGACGAATGGGAAAAGGAGAACAGCTCACAGCGTTTGAAACATCGCGTAAAAAAGACTGGGGGTGGTGGGGGCGGGGGGATGGAAGGATACTGGGAGGGGAGACGGGGGTGGCAGGGAAGACTGAGCACGAAGGGTTGGGGTTCTAAGCAGCACGTCCGATGAAGTGTCTTTTGCCTCTTTTTTTTCCCCCTTTATTTAATTTTGTCCTTGCCTTTGCTTCGCGCTGCCTTTTTCTCTCCGTCTCTCTCTCCCCCACAATCCCAAACCGTTGACTCTCCTCGCGAGCTGGAGAAATCATCAGTTTCACTCTTGCAAAAGGGGGGCGGGACTAGACCTCGGAGCGTTTTAATAAAACAAACATACAGCAGCTCCCTCCTCACCCCTCCAGTCTCAACTAGATTGATAAATTACTCCACTACACTACTTTAATTATGTATATGGTATGCAGAATAAATCACTGAACATCAGTACCTCAATCAAGCACTTTTAAATGATAATTGCATCTTGGTGAATCAATCTTTCCATTCCTGACATTTTGCTAATTTTAGTTTTACGGTGGGGTAATAGCACATGCCATACGCAAACCTAATGACAATTCTTTATTGCACGAAATGAAGACAACACGGCGAGCTGCGGCTCCCTGCTCCTCTCCCGGCGCCTCTGCGGAGGACGCTAGGAGAGAACCTAGTCTCCCGCTGCGGCGCGCTCGCTCTCCGGGGACGCTGCAAGCCAGCCAGCAGGAAAGTCCTTCTAAAGTCGGAATCTTTCCTCTGACCAATAGGAGCGCGACCCTAATAGTTGCTCTTGTGACTTTTCCCCCTTTTGGACACGCTTTAGCCACTTCTCTCTTCCACTGGTCGGTGCGCTCCTCCGTTACTCACGCGTAAAAGCCATGGTCCAGGATGTCTGCAGCACTCGATTCCAGCGTGCTTTTCCTGCACGCCCAGAAGTCGCGGTTTTCACCCTAAGAGGTTGGAGCGCTAGAAAGCGAGCCGAAAGGTTTCTCTAATGTTAGTAATGTACGAAATAATAAAATAATTACCAGTATTTGAGATCTCGACTCCATCACGGAGCCATGAACTTTCTAATCAGTTTGGAAATATTTACCGAGGCAGCAGCTTCCTCGGAGTTCCCCCCCTCCCCCCACTCTGTCTTTTCCACACCTTACTGGACTTCATCCAGGTCATTAACATGTAAACCAAACCAACTTCCCAAATGCATTAGGCTACCCTAGCCGATAGCTGATGACTTCACTTATCCTGAAGAGTTTCAGCTGCACAGGAAGCAGAAATAGAGACTGATAAGGGAGGATACTTATGTTAAGGTTAAAGCATGATAAACACTTTTTCTTACTAGTATATATATATATATATGTGTATATATATATATGGGCTTTAATATTTAGGAAAGGCTACTAGAGATTGGGCACCTCCCGCCCTAACCAACTATTAATATATACCATGCCCAATAAAGCCAAAGATAAAATACATCAACTAGTATAGAATCATTAAAAGACAAGATTGCATGCCAGTAGAATTACAGATGACATAAAATGTTTAAACCAAATTAATTTTTAAAACAATATTGTGAAAGCAAGAAGGGAAAATTCATAGAACATAGAATGTATGAGAGTAGACAATAGGAGTATATTGAAATATCTAGCTAACTGAAGATATTTCCTCACTTTAGAAAACTCATTTTAGCACTAAGTTTAACCCAATGACTAGTTGTATTTCCTGTTAAGTCCAGCAATATGCCTCCAGACGACTGTTTTAATGTAAGAGGACAGTATGGTTCAAAAAGCCTCCTGCTTCAATGTAGGAGGTATTTGATGTGAGTAGCTTCTCTCAGAAGAGTGGGCTCAACATTTAGGCAACAGTCCTAAGGCTTCACTTAAAAGGGGAAGATTTATTTTATAGGCAAGTACAACAATCTGAACAATCTTCAAGCTTCCAGCTCCTCATTGTGACTATCAGCACAACTAAGACCATTCCCTCCCTTTTATTATAGGAATGCATCACAAACTGTCACAAAGCAAAAACCATCCGAAATAGTAGTATTTCTTGCAGATTAGTATCTACAATGTATTTTGTTTGCCGGTTTTTCAAATGGTGAGTTTGCCATTACCATGAATTCATTTTAATAATATGGCAGAGAGCATCTATGTCAGCTTTCCATTCAAAGTACAACTTCTCTGAAAATCCAAAAATTTAAAGGGCAAAGATATTTTGAATACTAAGATACGTCTATATATGGTGGTAAAAATAAAATTAATTTTCTTTAAGATTCACAAAGGTTCTGAAAAAGCAAAGCATTTGAAGGACCATCTAAGTTTATTGCCATAATGCTTAAAATTAATGCAGTGAATTACAACAGTCTATTTGACATGAGCAAACACATAGCCAAAACATGAATTTCAGCCCTGCTGTTTTTGATGAATTATAGAGAGTATTTCTGTTTACCACAGTACACTTCAGTTTTAGATTTTCTTTCAAAAAGAAATTATTTTATTTTACCTTTTCATATTTTAATTATTTAATAATAAACATTATAACAAACCCATAATTATCAATGATACTGCAAGCATTCAAAAGTAAGTATAACCCCACACTGGATAATTTGAAAATAATTTGGATCTGGAATGTATCACAGTTGGCCTTTTAAAATATAGGATTTTCCCCTCAGCAGATTTAGCTTCTTAATTATGTGTGACCTAAGTTAATATTACCATTAGTTTTCTTCCCATGAGCCTTTAGAGTTGAAGCAGAAGAGAAGAGATATGAAGACATATACAATAGAAAATCGCCTGAGATTTAAAATTATTCATGAGTAATCCACAAAGTATTTAATCCAATGTGCTTTGTATTCTTTAAATACTTCTGGACTTTTGGTTTCTGTTTTTGTTTTTGTTTTTTCTTTAACTAAAATCAACCTGATCCTTGCCATCTAATGATACTTGGTCAGGATCAGACTATTTTCTCATGTAGGGAGGAGCTTGTACTAGGTGTCAGGAGACCTGGATTCTCTATCTAGTTCCAAATTTGTGCCTTACTAAGGGATTTGTCCTTTCTAGGCTTCAGTTCGCTTATGTGTTAAATGAGTTCTGTAACCTATTCCAGTTCTATGATTGGAAAACAGAAAATATTTCTACCCTTTAAACCAATTGGAAGGTAGGGTCTATCCAGTTAAATAATAGGTGACAATTCCTTTAACAGAAAATTATGTCTGGGATTGATGTACCAGCTTTTTTTTTTTTTTCTTCTTCTAATCACCAAACATTTCCTACATTAAATAGTAAATGCTTTATTGTGAATATAAATATAGTCACTTGTTTTTCCCTCAAAATAATTATATTTAGCAATATATTTAATTAAAGTGTCATAGAAGTTACAGAGAGCATGCCCCTCGGGATTTTAACTGCAGGGAAAGCTAATGTTGCAATTTCTGTTCAGAGCTGCATACCATCTTACTCCATCCTCCTCTCTTCACTACTTCCCTACATTAAAGCAGCGGTCCACTAAAGCCCTGTGCACTGGGTCTGCCTGCTTTTAAGCCTGGCCCACGCTGGGTGTAGCTCTTGAAGTGAGCTTTAAAAATTATTTTAAAGTGAACTGGGGCGGTTGCCACAGCAACCCACCCTGAGATGAAGAAAGGCTATAGATTAATCTACCCCTTAAGATTATTCAACTGTATAGTATTTGTTCCTCAGCCAGAATACTTTTAACACAAACATGGTAAGTGAACATCGTAGTTTAGAAAGATCTAAAAAGCAGTGAGACACAAATTCCAATAGCATTACATATTTTAATCTTTGTCTAATTATAGCTTTGATGATACACAGGACTTCCCATGAAATAGATTAATTGTTTAAGATACAGTACTTGCAAAAGTAGGCCCTGAAAGGTGACATGATCTTTAAGCAAAATGGTATGTCATTGCTTATAATATAAAGTGCATTGTGGTCATTTAACTCTTTATTATTGTTACACACGTCTATTCTGTAAATACCTAAGGCCAAGGAGTTTGGCAGTTCTACCTTTATGGTAACTCTGTGGTAAATGATAAAAACAAATGTGAGCACTCACCACATACACTTCTTTACTGTCACAGTCATTTGCCTTCCGTTCTTTACTTCATCTCTTCATAGAAGTTACTTCACAGTTTGCAACTCTTCTTTGGCACCTTCAAATGTGGAAGTGCAAAAAAGTATATAGTATTTTGTTAATGCTGATATGAAAGTACTTTCAAATAGATTTATTTCTAAAACTTCTAACCTGAAGTAACAATACTTCGATTTTAAACCAAAGTGTTTTGAATATAAGATTATTGAAATTGTCATTTATTGTGATAACAATCTTCAATATAAAGAGTGCCAAATATCTAAATTTCAAAAATTCACTAGGTGCAGCATTAACCCAAGCAGCATATACAGCATGTGGACTGTCTGTGATTGAGCATTTGCAATATACAAAGGATTTGTTATTTCAAGACAGGGTTTACACATATCTAAGGATTCTATATTTACCTGTATTTCTGTACCTTCAGTTTTATATCTGATAGAGAATTACAGAAGAATGTCAAATCCATTATATCCGAAGCTAACACAATTTGTCAAATTGGGAAATGTTTGCAATGCAGTTGAGGTTGCTGAGAGGGCTTATTTTATGCATTGCCTAAAGGCCAATTTAAAATACTTTGGGATTAGTGATGTGTATTCAATATGGTTTATAAATTCTATTACCGATAATACCTTATTCTTCCAAGCAGTGTTTAACTGTACTGAGCACAGACAAATGCTCCTGTGTTCTGATTTCTGTTTTAGCCTAGCTTTCCATGACTTTGTGCACACAAATGAACGTTTCCTTGGCTTCAGACTGAGGCTAGTCCCAGAAAGAAAACCAGCCTTGAGACACTTCAGACCAGGATGGTCAATATCTATTTTCCCATTTGTAATAGCAAGAGGACTTTGCATAGTGAAGAATCATTTATAAAGCCTCTATATTTGGGTTGACATCTCTGAGGTTTATTTTTAAGTTGCTTCAGAGTCAAAGAGAAATGAAGAATTTTGGCCAGTTTTATTTTATGGGTGTTAGTTGAGTTTAGTTTTTTAGGCTCAGGCCCACAGTGAGTGAGTCCAGACTTGGTCTTGTAGTCACTACCAAGTGATTTGGTGAATTCTCTTTCTTCCAGTTGCGCTTCATTTTACAGTCTAAAGTGAGAATCATAATACACATCTCCCAGGGCCTATTCACCGTACAGAAATGCAATCTTCATGAAATAACATGAAGGTATGGTAAGGATTTTTAAAAACGACACTACAAATTATGATACATTTCTTCCTTTTCCTGTAATCAGTATGTCCAAATAAGGCTTGATCAGTAATTTGCTTGCAAGTGTGTGGCTGATTCAAAAATACCCACATGCATGACTAAATTTAATGCGACTTTACCTTTACTTACAAAATTGTTCAATGTTGTTCATCGGAACATTGATTCTATCCCATTTCTTGAAATATCACAGAAACCTTCAATTCAAGGAATGGATTTTCACACTTCCCCTTTTAACTGTTTCTTCTAGATACCTTACTATGTGTGTGCTTTTTCATTTAAAAAAATGTTTACCCGGGGTCGGGGTAGAAGTGGGGGTTAAAAATCTCGTCCTGCTTTTTGGTGCCCACTTCTTTGTTTGGAAAGCAGAGCGCTGGGACTCAATCCGGGCGGCCCTCAAAGACCCAGACGAGGGACGCCTCTGGTTTCAGCAACTCACTCCGCTGAGTTATTGATTGCAGGCAGCAACAATCCCTCCGGTTGATTTGTGTGAAAAGTGAATCCGCGCTGGCTGGGCGTTCAGCAGAGGCGCAACAGCCGCAACGCCATCCAATTATTGCCGATCCTCCCCTCCAACACTGCTCTCATCACCTATATACTCTTTTCTCTGCCCGTCTCTGCTTCCCCCCACCCACTTTTCTCCCGGGCCGACGGAGCCGAAGGGGCGGGGGTTCCTTCCTTGGAGTGTTTCTAGAGCTCGGAGGCTGCTAGTAGGGGGTGAGTGCGCCACGTGCGTGCGCCACGGGCGAGCAGGAGGCAGACTCTGGCTCTCCTGGGGACCTGCTGGACCTGGGTGCGATGAGTGGGCGGCCACGCTGGTTTGGCACGGGGAAGAGAGGGGGTGTGCCGACTTGACTTTAGTTGGGGGTTGGGGAAGTCACGGCTGGGGGAAAAGCGTCCGGTGGTTTGTTGGTAAAGAGGGTGCGTGGTGGGCTCTGGGGAATGGAGGAGGGCGCAACGGCTGTGGGTGGACTGTGGAAACGGGCGGTGGCAGTGCCGGGGTAGTTGTCCTGCTGGTCTGGTTTTGGGATCCTGGGCTGGAGAAATGAGACCCCAAAGAGCTGGGGATGGGCTCAGAGCGACCCACGAAAATACAACGGGCCAAGTAAAATGAACCCAGCCATTAACAGTGCACAAAGCGCTGGCACACGGTCCACGTCTGGTGACGCAGGCTGCCCGAAGCGCTCCAACCATTTTGCAAGCCTGGGAGAGCAAGAGGGGCTCTGCAGGTCTAGCCGCCGCCCCTGTCCGGCTCTGGCCAGTCGGAGTTTTTCACCTGACAGACCAATAGGAAAGAACACGGGTCCCAACTTGGACTTTATAGTCTGAGCTCTCAGCATCTAAGGAATTATTTTTCAAAAAAACAAAAGCCAACTCCTAGCTCTATAAAACTCGTGTGTGAGTTTTGGCTAGGAAAAAGCCACAAAGTAGAGCAAGAAGTAGGGTATTCAGGGTAAAACACACACTTTAAAGACAAAACAGAAAACTTCCTTTCTCCTTGTACCCCCTTTATTTGTTAACAGGGGAACAGTGCTGGAATGTCTTGCAAAAATGCTGTCACTAAATGCAGATATCTGTGCTGTTCTTTGATCTGTCTGGGGAGCTGTTCCAAGGGCACCAAGCATGGTGGAAAGATCGATGTTCCAAAGGCATTGTGGAATACTCAATTACACCAAAGGTGTAAAAACGTTTATGTTACCATGTTCTTGAAACATTTAGCGGCTACCAAGATGGTAGCTATTTAAATTAATTAAAATAAGATAAAAATAAGAAATTCACTCCCTCAGTTCCACTAGCCATATTTCAAATGCTCAGTAGCCACATGTGGCTCCCTTATTGGACAGCAACGTGTCAAACATTTCCATCACTTCATAAAGTTCTACTGGAGAATGCTGCTATAGAGTTCAAAATGAATGCTGGTTAAAAAAAAAGAACGGGAAGGAAGGAAGGAAGGAAGGAAGGAAGGAGGGAGGGAAGGAAGGAAGGAAGAAAAGAAAGAAGGAAAAGAAATTACATTATGACTGATACCAGCCACATTTTAGGACACTCTTGGAGTTTCTGTTACTTGGCACTAGTGTGAGAAGCTTTAAAGTCAGAATTGCAGTATCTTCCTGCTAAAAGAGACCTTGGGGAACACTTCAGCCAAACACCTAATTTATTTTATAGGCAAGAGAAATCAGGCCCAGAGAAGTTAAGAGATGCCCCCAAAGTTATGTCATAAATTTGGAAAAAAGATAAGGTCGCCTAACAGGGTCCAGTATACTTTGTAACAGACCAGGACAGCTTTCTAGGCGAATTCATCTTATAGAAAGGCAGCTTGACTGAAAATTTTAGGCAAGAGTACCCTTTTACAAGAAAAAATACTGCTAAGTATTCCTCCAGGAAGAAATTCCATTTAACAAAGGGTAAGGAGGAGCATGGGGAATAATACTGTCTCCCAAACTAAAAATGTATTATTGGTAGTGTCATAGATTTATATAATGCCTTTTCTAAGAGGCTAATTGGGATAACACTGTGGTAATTCTACTTTAAAAATTCTGAGTGAATGGGATTATCCTCTTAAAGAGCTAAAAATCTTTCTTAAGGTCAGGGAGGAAAAGCATTACCTAAGGTGAAAATTGTTAGCAAAGCATAATCTTTCTCAAATTTGATAAAGATAATCGTGTATACTGATTATGATACAACTGGGATGGAATTGGCTCAGGAATGTTAATAAGAAACAAAACTTTTTCTTTTTTCTTGGAGATAGAGTCCCGCTCTGTCACCAAGGCTGGAGTGCAGTGGCACGATCTCTGCTTACTGAAAGGTCCACCTCCTGGGTTCACGCCATTCTCCTGCCTCACCCCCCGAGTAGCTGGGACTACAGGTGTCTGCCACCACACCCAGCTAATTTTTTCTTTCTTTTTTTTTTTTTTTTTTTTTGTAGTTTTAGTAGAGACGGGGTTTCACCGTGTTAGCTAGGATGGTCTCGATCTCCTGACCTCGTGATCTGCCTGCCTCGGCCTCCCAGAGTACTGGGATTACAGGCATGAGTCACTGCGCCCAGCCCAAACAAAACATTAGTACAAATTACACTATCTGAAACTTACAAGGCAACAGAATACATCATAAAGACTTAGACAAAGCATAAGCTTTCTTGTTTGTTTTGTTTTGTTCTGTCTTTTGGGTTTGTTTTGTTTTGTTTTTAATGCCATGTTTGTATTCTATATACCTTATTGTTAATTAGGAGTGAACTGTTGGTATTAATTCTGCTCTTTTATAGTAGCTACCCTTTAATTTAACCCTTAGTGAAGGATCCCCAAAGTGTCCAAATAAGAGTACTTATGAATATTAAATAATTTTAAATTAATAACAAATTCTTTTAAAAGTGTAGGTTTACATTTATATTTGAATTATTGTCTTTATTTCTCTTCTTAATCTGCCATTTGCATGTGGTTGAGCATTCTTCCTATTCTCCCTAAAATCCAGTATCCTACGAGAAAATGTTTCACTTCTTCAAGTGCCTGTAGACATGGTAGAAGGCCTCAACTTCTCCATGGCTGACGACTGAGAAGGCTGATCTGACTTGGAAGAGACTGTGTGGCCAAAAGCCAATTGGCTGTATCACATGGTAACTGTATGATTATGCATGTGCTTTAAATCTCCCTGTGCCTCAGTTTCCTCATTTGTAAAATGTAGAACAAAATGTGCTACCCTCAAACTTTGTTATAAAGATTAAATGAGCTATTCAGCATAAAGCACAGGGCTGGAAAAGTGATAAACTGCAGTAAAAATTAGCCATTCTTAATATAATGCAAAGAATTTCCACTTCTATACCATCAAGTTCCTTATTCACCCATAGTGGGGTTATCACAGCAGAAAGAAGTAGGTCATCCGAGAGGTGGGAATTGGTTCAGGATGAGATTTACGTTTGAAGAGGCAAAACTTTCTTATGTTTTAAAATACCATGACTTAAGTGTACAGGTTGCCTTATTTCCCTTTCACTGACATCATGCCCCTAGGATTTTTTTTTTTTTTTTAAAGGGATGCTTTATTATACTTGTTGGCCACTTGGTTGCTGAAAAGGCACTGAAAACTCAGAGTCTATCCTCTTTTCACCCTGGTTGACCTTTGGAATGCTGTTGTCAGCCAAGATGACATTGATATCTTTAGTCTCCTGCTAGCTTGAATTCTTTAGGGCAGAGTCTGCTCAGATTGTCTCCTGATGTCATTCCAAATGTCTGATGGCCATCTATGGCAATTTGGTTGGGCAAAAGCCTGCTGGGTAGGGGTAGCCAACAGAATGCCGAATGGAGAGTTCTGTTCAAGAGGACCTAGAAGTAGTTCTGTTAGACATATGATCAACACTACAACTCTGTTAGGGGACTGTACCATTTCTTGAAAAATAGAAGTATAATCATTTTGCGTTTTTGGTTCTAATAAAGTCCCACCTGAGATGTTTATGATTCATACTGATTTTATGATTAAGTATGTATTACAGAAAAAAAACAAACTTAGAGAATGTCAGTAAAAATTTTATATCTGATATTCATGCTAACGTTAGTTATTAAATGAAGACCCCAAGTTAAGACAAAGGAGTTTAGAAAAGAAGGAATAAAGGCTACTGCATGGCAAAATGTGCATTATTCTCTCTATCTTTCTAGGTATTTTTTGTTTTACTTTTTTTTCTTTCTTTCTTTTCTTTTCTTTTCTTTTTTTTTTTTTTTTTCCTGAGATGGAGTCTTGCTCTGTTGCCCAGGCTCGAGTGCAGTGGCGTGATCTTGGCTGTCTGCAACCTCTGCCTCTCGTAGAGATGGGGTTTCGACATGTTGGCCGGGTTGGTCTTGAACTCCTGACCTGAGGTAATCTGCCCGCCTTGGCCTCCCAAAGTTCTGGGATTACAGGCTTGAGCCACTGTACCCGGCCATTTCTAGGTAATTTTTCAAATGACTATATTCTACTTCTCTGGAGCTTACAAAATTATTTCTAAAATATTTTATTTATAATCCTAAATGTTAAACCAAGCAATATAATAGAAAATGTTATGTTTTCAAGAAGGTAAGATCATGCATAGATCTATATGCTTTCAATACATAATTTTATAGATATTCTGGAACAAGGAGGCACATAGTTATATCAATATTCTAATTTCTTAGGAAGAAAGAGAATTTTCACTGGGAGGAAGTTTCTGAATTATTTTGTAATATGGTGAGAATTAAAAGTAAAACTCAATAAAACTTTTAAATTTAAGTCAACGATTAAAACCAGTTTGTTTCACCAAAGTACTGATTGAGTCAAAGACTCAAACCAAAGGCCAGATTTTCTATGGACTATTACTTATTTATTTATTTATACTAAATTTGTAGTTAAATCTTTTTAATCAGTAATGTTCTTCGTCATAATACAATGATATCTGGAGGATATATACAAAAATAATACTATCTTATTAGAATGTGGGTTGAAATGAATGTCTGAAGTACCTAACATTTAATGGCCACATACTATTTGTCAGACTCTGTATTAATTGCCTTATAAACTTTATTTCCTTTTATTCAAAGAACAACCTTTTAGACATGTACTATTATTGTACCCATTTTACAGATTTTACAAACTAAAGCTATGCGTGCTGACATGACCTGCCCAGGGCCACATAGTTCGTAAGTGCCAAATGACATAAAACCAATGTGTTTGTTTCCAATATTCTACTCTTAGCTATGAAGCTATACTGCTTCCTTGTATTCATAACATTTGTTCACTTATAGGGATAATATAATAGATATTTTTGTCCCACCAGAAAATATTTCAGAAATACATATCTAAATGCATGTCATTCTCTTTAAGGTAGACACTTAAGAAGACTATTCATTTATTTCAGTAATGTTGTCTTTGCTCAAGTCTATTTAGAAATCTCCTCAGGGATTTGCTACACAGTCTTAAAACTGGCCTGATTGTTGGCAAATCTTAATCATTAAGGATGAATTTTTTGCCAAAAGTAAATCCAAGCCAAATGTAGTAAACAGGATGAAAACTAAGATTTGATTACAAAACTTTAGATGATTTGATATTTGTCTCATAAATTGACACTAATTGAAGATATAAAAGAGGAATTTCAAAGGTATTTTTGATACAATTGTATAGCCTTTAAGGAGACAGTTTTGACAAGTAACACTCGTAAAAGGTCTGGTAATTCTTTAAAAAGTCATTTTCACTAAATTAGTAGTCATAGATCATGTATAAACAGCATGGGAAATGTTCTTTTCAAAGAGTATAAAATGGGCAGCGAAGGGTAACTCAGAAACTCTGGACCAGAATCCACGTTTAGACACTAAATAACTGTTTTGACCTTAATTTTCTAAATGTCCTTTTTGTAAAATGGGGGAGGTGGCAGGAACTACCCATGATAATGATTTTGCTGAGAGAAGCTCATGAAATTGTACTTCTGTGGCCACTTAGTGCTTTGCATATAGCAAATTCTCAACAAATGTTAGCTATTGTATACCATTTCACTTTCAAGAACTATCCCATATTCCTGGAGAACATCTCAATGTTGTAGTTATCTAACGATATTTTAAAAGATGTTTTCTTTTCTGTCAGTTTCATGCTTCCAAACAGTTATTTTATGTAAAGTATTTAATATGTAAAGTAAATATAAACATATTTATGGTTGCATGTTTATTCAGTTAATATGTATTATACCAAGAAGTCTTACATGTTGTACTGCTAACTGTTTTATCCTTGTCAGCGTTCTGTATAATATTGTCTTTAGATAAACTTTTTTGGGGGTATTCTTAATGTATTTCATCAGATTTATGAAAGTAATGACACACACATTTGCCCAGAATAAGTCTCCAAGATTTTATTTTTTAGTTACCTCAGACATCTTCTAAATTGTTTATTCATTATATAATCTTAAATTTAAGGAAACTGTGCATAAATATGTTGAATTAGTGGCTTCCTATTAGATCCCAGTGAACTCCTCTTAAATCGGTGCCCTTATCTGTGTAGCATATGCGCAGTTGTGATGTTGTGAAAGTTTGTCTTTACATCACTCTCTTCCCTATACTCACGTTCAGCAGGCTCTGCTTTCATTTTGGCATGCTCCACTCACCCAGCAGCAATTTTTACAATCAGTAATAGCTGTTTCACGAGTGGCTTCTTTCTCCTTTGGGCCTTCCACTGATGCGACCTACAAGGTCCTTTCATCCCTCAGCCACCCCTTTATGTCCCCGGAATTCTTTCCAACTATGTTCTATGAGAGGAGCCGGCCACTTCAGCCGCTTAATCCATGACACGGTATCAATGTGCAACCACTTTAAATGAACCTCTCTTCAAAAGTTTTCTGAAAAGAATTCATAATCAGAAGGAGTATCCATGCTTCCATAGATACCCTGCTGTGTTGGTCAAGAGGTGTTTTAGGGAGCACTTTCAGTGTGTCTCAGGTCCCTCCTGCCAGCAGCCACTTCATTTGTCCACACAGATCTAAGCCTTGGATGCAAGTAAATGGGAAACCTGACTCTTACTTGAAGAAGCAGTTTTGTTTCTGAAAATGTTGATATTGGAAGATGAACTTTCTATCAGCAAAAGATTAAGATACTCCTTGAAAATTTATACACTTAAAAAAATTGTACATTGTATTACCTGTTCCTCTGGTCTCTTTTTCTATTACCTGTTTGCAATATGAGGCATGCAGCCACTGCACGTCCCTTGTGCCACAGTGACTATGTTGTCAATCAGACTTACCCTGTGTGCTCTCCCTTCTGCCCCACCAAAGTCACCAGAGGTATAATTAGTTATTGTTTATCCAGAAATGTCTTGAACAGGGTTTAAGAACTCTTTAAAGAGAATATGTGCCACTTGTTGGATGAAAAAGAATTTGAAAGGGTTGGGGAGAGATTTAGGGTTAGAGGGCAAATTTCATTCTGCCTTCTATCTCTTCTATTAAATCACAGATAAAGCATCTTCCTATGTGCAAAGACAGGGTACATAAACAAATATTTCCCAACTTAGTGTAGTCTTAAATCTGTAAATAAAGAGTATCTATATCAAATGGAATGCATTTTATATTGAAAATCATCACTCAAGATTCGGAATGAAGAAATAAGATTCTAAGTAACAGATTTTGAACACTACTAAAGTAAGAAACATTCTACAACATTCTTATTCCTTTTGACCCCTTTAGCAAAGGCTAAATAGCTAGTCAACAGATTTCCTCCCAACTATTCCATTTACTTCCTTTCTTTCTTCCAGCTGGCTGGCCTTCCTTCCTTCCTTCCTTCCTTCCTTCCTTCCTTCCTTCCTTCCTTCCTTATGGCTGTTACATTATATTATATTATTGTGCTTCCTTGTACTGTGCCTTCCTTACATTATTTTTGTCTTTATAGCCCTCCTCTTGTTTTCAGTTATAGATTCTTTTGCATTATCAGTTATGAATAACAAACTTCACACACACACACACACACACAACAATTAGCAATTTTTATTTTGTGAAAAATTACATTTTCTGTTTCAGAACCAAGGTATTATTTTTTGATCTCAGATCACTTCAAAATAAAACACCAACCCTCAAAAACATTTCAAACATTAGTAGTGCATGTTATAGATAATGAAATTGTCAGAATACTTCTCTGATTT